CAACAGCATTGGACTGCATCTAAGACTCAAAACAAGCACAACAAAGAGAGAGAAAGAGGGAGAAGTCGGGAAAAACGGTTTTTGGCAAACCTGTGCCAGGCTATAGAAAAGTCTCTCTTTCACTTAGTAAAATAACTCGGATTCACTTACATTTATAATCACCCCATCTACACAGTGTGAAAGAGAGACTTTGGAGCTCTGCTTTCAGATCTATTTAATTAATACATCCATTTAATTAAAACAATGTGTCAATAAAACAAACACAGAAAAGTTAAGAGTCTGTAGATCTGAATGTTTATTGTATTTTACATAACACAGGAAATGTAAATTGATCATTTGAATCAGAACAGTAGCTGAATCAAAACATTTGATCTTGAGCATGATATTGGTTATCTTTTTATTGATTCAAAACTTTGTTAAAGAAAAAGTAATTTCCACACCAGTTATTGTTTATTGTCAACATAATTAAGGAACAGAAAAATCACTTTAGATCTGTGTTAATTATAAGGCTTTGTTCTCCATTGCTCACGTGGTGAAATTATTTATGACGCATATACAGTGGGGAGAACAAGTATTTGATACACTGCCGATTTTGCAGGTTTTCCTACTTACAAAGCATGTAGAGGTCTACAGAAAATCACATTGTATGATTTTTAAGTAATTAATTTGCATTTTATTGCATGACATAAGTATTTGATACATCAGAAAAGCAGAACTTAATATTTGGTACAGAAACCTTTGTTTGCAATTACAGAGATCATACGTTTCCTGTAGGTCTTGACCAGGTTTGCACACACTGCAGCAGGGATTTTGGCCCACTCCTCCATACAGACCTTCTCCAGATCCTTCAGGTTTCGGGGCTGTCGCTGGGAAATACGGACTTTCCGCTCCCTCCAAAGATTTTCTATTGGGTTCAGGTCTGGAGACTGGCTAGGCCACTCCAGGACCTTGAGATGCTTCTTACGGAGCCACTCCTTAGTTGCCCTGGCTGTGTGTTTCGGGTCGTTGTCATGCTGGAAGACCCAGCCACGACCCATCTTCAATGCTCTTACTGAGAGAAGGAGGTTGTTGGCCAAGATCTCGCGATACATGGCCCCATCCATCCTCCCCTCAATACGGTGCAGTCGTCCTGTCCCCTTTGCAGAAAAGCATCCCCAAAGAATGATGTTTCCACCTCCATGCTTCACGGTTGGGATGGTGTTCTTGGGGTTGTACTCATCCTTCTTCTTCCTCCAAACACGGCGAGTGGAGTTTAGACCAAAAAGCTATATTTTTGTCTCATCAGACCACATGACCTTCTATTCCTCCTCTGGATCATCCAGATGGTCATTGGCAAACTTCAGACGGGCCTGGACATGCTCTGGCTTGAGCAGGGTGACCTTGCGTGCGCTGCAGGATTTTAATCCATGACGGCATAGTGTGTTACTAATGGTTTTCTTTGAGACTGTGGTCCCAGCTCTCTTCAGGTCATTGACCAGGTCCTGCCGTGTAGTTCTGGGCTGATCCCTCACCTTCCTCATTATCATTGATGCCCCACGAGGTGAGATCTTGCATGGAGCCCCAGACCGAGGGTGATTGACCGTCATCTTGAACTTCTTCCATTTTCTAATAATTGCGCCAACAGTTGTTGCCTTCTCACCAAGCTGCTTGCCTATTGTCCTGTAGCCCATCCCAGCCTTGTGCAGGTCTACAATTGTATCCCTGATGTCCTTACACAGCTCTCTGGTCTTGGCCATTGTGGAGAGGTTGGAGTCTGTTTGATTGAGTGTGTGGACAGGTGTCTTTTATACAGGTAACGAGTTCAAACAGGTGCAGTTAATACAGGGAATGAGTGGAGAACAGGAGGGCTTCTTAAAGAAAAACTAACAGGTCTGTGAGAGCCGGAATTCTTACTGGTTGGTAGGTGATCAAATACTCATGTCATGCAATAAAATGCAAATTAATTACTTAAAAATCATACAAATGTGATTTTCTGGATTTTTGTTTTAGATTCCGTCTCTCACAGTTGAAGTGTACCTAGAATAATAATTACAGACCTCTACATGCTTTGTAAGTAGGAAAACCTGCAAAATCGGCAGTGTATCAAATACTTGTTCTCCCCACTGTATTTGTAAAACAATTTGTCAATCTAAACATTACATTTATATCTGTGATGTTACATATCAATAACACATTCATAATCAGATGCATTGAAACTTCACAAATAAAGCAATTAACAAAACATGACAACATGAACACATATTACATATTAAGTTAATACAAAAGTTTGGATTTGGGGATTTCTTCAAATATGTTTTGGTTTTAGTGATGTAATCTTGCTCGGTTGTTTTATTCTTTAGCTTTCCTGTCACACCTCCTTTTGAAGAAAAGTGTCTGCTACTATACAATTCCCAAATATTACCTCAGAAATACATAAACAATCAGAAACAGAAGAAGCAGGAACTCCTTAACCTTTTGACTACTGTAACCCTTGTATGGGGGGTACTGAGGGGTGGCCAGGACATGTGGCATCTCAGTTTCACCCAGCCTACTGAGTACACCTGACACCAGACCGCAAATGCCACACCACAGACACTAACTGCCAAGATGAGGTCTTGTTCCGGGGTCAACGCATTTGCAATGGTGAAACTGCCTCAAATGACTTCCATAACAAAATAGCACACAGCTTTTTATGGGTTAAACCGCCTCAAGGGAAAATGTGTGTGAGTATGTGGAAGAATTCAATCTCCATTTCTGTACCCTTTTAGTTACTTATTTTGGGGGGAACAACCTTTCACCTCAACCTTGTTAATTTAGACATGAACTTTCACACAACCTCTAACTTCACATGTACTCTAAGAATGAAGGAGGCAGAGTTCCAGAATTCCACATTTTCCCAGTAGTTCAAACGCGCCGACCCCGCAGACATCACCTCTGAGCCAAGAGTTAGAAGGTTCTGCAATCGCCACCCCTGTCCACCTGTTCCAGCGCTCTCCTCAAACCCCCATCCTCAAAATCTGCCATCTTCTTCTGCTCTTCCTTCATATAACTATTTAGCTAACGAAACTCTGACCTACTGTATGTGTAATATAACTCCCCCTCCAACCCTGCACTGCTATGTGTTCACAGTGTGCAGGCTATTAATCAACTGCTATGGCTGGATTATAATGTAGTAGGGTCATTCCACCAATTAGGTCCCTTTTGAGTAGTGTAACTTGGAGAGAAAAAACACATTTCATCTCATTTTAACATTGTCATGAAGAGCACATGTTCAACTTAATGAAAAACACCCCCCCCCCCCCATCTCAAGAGGTTAAAGAAAAAAATGACTATAGTAAGTGCCTATTTAGTGCCAAATACATTAACAGGGTTGACGACTTCATTTTAAATTCAGCCATAAATCTCCTTGTGACAGGGGGAATGGAAGCTTGTTGTGTACAACAGGGAGGGGTAATTGAATGCAATTGTAAAAAAATGTCTAAACTGTCTATCTCTATGGGCACCCTCAGCGGGGTGGATTCAATGGATGCATCTGTTTTTCAGGGTAAATGGAAAGAGAGCCTGTGTCGCGGCTTCCACTTTTGGACGTTAACAAGGCAACACTCCATCTTAACTCCTCCCCCACATTTACTGGATTGGTTCAAAGAGGACCTCCCCCAACAGTTTCTTTCTCATCAGGACCAGAAAGAAAGAAACGCCACCACCACAAAACACCAGAAAATTGCAAAAATGAGTAGAACCAGCTCATCTGCTTTACATATTTAAAAATGAATAGTTTCACCAATTAAAATGTGTTCAGTTCACGTAACAGGGTTGACCTTAAAATGAGGGACAGGGTTTTTTGTAGTCTGACGACCCACATTAATTTATTCCGCTTCTCTGTCGTTCGCTACATGCTTTAGTCTGAGACTGCCATCACTGAAGTCGTTTGTGGTGACGAGGGGCGTTGTACAAAACAAAGTCATCAGCGTTTGGATTGTCGCTAACCAATCAGAGTATCAAAGCCAAGTATGGGTAGCCAGGCAAGGCCTTTTTTTTTTTTTTTTTTTTACTTCAAATTAATTACTAATAACAATCTTCAGAAATGACTTTGTCAAAGCAACAAAATGACTAGGGCTTTACAATGATGGTGAAACTTGGGAGATACATTGGGGTTAAGTGGGTTAAAACTTCCTAGAAGTCACAGAGGATGCACAGAGGGACATGTAAAAATGATGAATTTTAGCATTTTAGCAAGTTTTTATTCATAGTATAAATCTGATTGATTGAATTGTCCATGTGGTCTATATTAAAGGGCACTTCATTTAATATAACAAGCTTTTAAAATGCAATATTTGTGCACAATTTCTACTTAAAATATCAAAGGGACGCAAAAGGCACTCATTTTGTTGAACGACCCAGACTGCTGATGCCACAACCTAATTGATAGCAGGGGCGCAGTCAATTCGAATTGAACGCTGTCAATTCAGGAAGTTAACCAAAATTCAAATTCAATAATTGGACAAAGGGCCTCTATTTTCTTAATGACTGAAAAGTAGAAGCTATTTATTTAAAAAGGTTTTTCCATTTTTTAATTTGATATTGAAATCACTTCCTGAACCATGGTAGATAGATAAGACACCCATATCATATCCTCTCCAAATCACTGAAGATGATACCTATTTTATTCCTGAGATGGTCCCTAAAATTTAAGTGAGAAAAATGCAAAGGTTGTGAGATATGTTTTTATATAACAGGAGTGTTTTTTCTTCCTGTGATGTACCTTTTAAACTAACTAAACTAACCCTTACCCCAGTACAAAAATACACACCCGCACACAGCATACCCGTGCTAAACATGGGTTCTATTCAGAAGGGTCCAATGTTAGGAACAAACACTTAGGCAGGACTAAAACACATATGCTTCTCTGTCATGCAGAATAGGGAATCGATTTTTTTATTACTTTGATCTGTGACTAAAATCTAAACATTGCACCCTCCTGAACAAACCCCAGGTGCTTCTCCCCCCTGACTTCCTGTCTAGTTGAAGTGGGACAGGAAGTACCCCAGGTCGTAGCGTGGAGGACAGTGCAGGCCCAGCCCCTGGCAGAGGGCGAGGAGGCGCTGGCGAGCGTTGGCGGCATTGTGGGCGTCTCTCACCCCGACATTACAGAAGGGCTCCTCGTACTCCCCAGAGATCAATTCATCCTCCTCAGCCAGCTCGTTCAGCCATAGAGCCCCCTCCTGGTGCAGCCCTCTCAGGCGCTCAGGGCTGGCTGTGCTTCTCAGGGCCTGGAGGTGCTGTGACACCACCACCATCACCCCAGCAAAGTGGCCTCTGGCTGGGAGCGCTGTGGCCGAGGGCAGGCACGGACGCAGCCCGCAGGACACCATGAAGGCGGCCATCAGGATGTCCACGCCATACAGCTGCCGGATCCAGTCGCGCAGGTAGAAGCCGCCCATGCGGGCATTGATCTCGATGAGCCTCGGGCCCACCTCCGTCATCTTCATCTCAACGTTGAACACGCCGTCTTGCAGGCCGCATCCCAGGCAGGCGTGGTGCGCCGCGCGGATCAGCTGAGCACGCTTCTCCGGCGCCAGCCCAGAGGGCATCTGGGAGGCCGTCTCGGTGAAGGCCGGGGCACGGGTGGGGCCATTGTCGGACACGAAGGCGCCCTCCAGTCGCCCCTCAAACAGGACCACGTCCACATCGTGCTCTGTGCCTCCCACGTACTCCATGAGGGTCATGGCGTTGCCCCATCCCAGGCCAATGCCAGGGTAGTCTGTCTCCTCGCGGAGGTCCCCTCCAATCCTCTCAAAGTGTGCCAGGCTTTCCTCCAGAGAGCCCACCTTCCTCACGCCCACCGCCCCGGCCCCGTACTCCAGCTTCATGATGGCAGGGAACCTCACCACCCCTACACTGGCCCCACCAAGCCCCCCCACCCCACCACTGGCTGCCTTCTCCAGATCCAGGGCGCTCTCCACATGGATACAGGGAACAGCATAGGAAGAAGGGGAGGGAGAAAGGAGGGGAGCGGAGGGCCGGAAAGTGCCGAAGGACTGTGAGAAGGAAGAGGAGGCTGAGGCGGATGAAGAGGTAGAGGTGGTAGTGCCGGGTTTGCCCATTGCCTCATTGAAGAGATCCCCCCTGTCAAAATCGGCCATAGCTCTCATGCTATCTCCTTCCATGTTGACCATGCCGTTGACCACACCGTTCTGTTGTCTTCCTCTCCTCTCACCTTCTCTAAACTCAACCAGGCCATCCGCCTGACCGGAGGGTTGCTCAACACTGATCAAGTTAGTCCCAGTAGACTTTAGTAGGCCCTGGAGGTGCCTGTGGGTGCGGCTCTTCTCCTTTGCGATGCGGATGGCCTCGGGGGGAGGTCCCCTGAGCCCCAGCCTATCACAGACCAGAGACGTTAGCACCACGCAGTCATCCCAGAAGCACACGCAGCCATCAGGGCGGAGCCCGGAGGACAACAGCCAATCACAGATGCGGGAGCAGTGCTGGTCGTCACGGCGGTGGTCGGGCAGGTCTGGCAGGGGCAGGAAGTGGTCGACCAACTGGGAGGCGAAGTGGGCGGGGTCACAGTCCACCAGCAGGATCTGATTGGAGGGGAGGGAGTTGGTGAGTTCAGTTCAGCACATTAGCATAACTAGCTAACCAGTAACCATTAATGTGTCATTTGATCGGACTTGCACTGCAGTAAAATGCACTTCTAAAATGGCTGAAAAGTCTGTTGAGGCGATCTATTCACTTTCACTAGTTAATTCCCAATGTAGACATTCACCTTGAGTTTGTACTTTTTGGCTGCTCCCCAAATGAACTTCTTGCTGTGTCCTCCAGCTCCCACCACCAGCACAGTCTTCCCCTGCATCAGGTAGTACTGGGAGCGGGTGAGGGGGGTGAGGAGGAGGGTGCCCCTACTCCACCCCTCTATCCCACTGTCACATCCCTCCATCTCCATCCCCATCCCTCGGTCCGAGAAGGAGGAGCGGAGACAGAGGGAGGGGTGGAGGCCAAGAACAACAGGGCTGATGATGTAACCATCCATGGTGAAGAGGAGGTCTACGCCTAGGAGAGAGGGAGTAGAATGGAGGTAGAGAGATACAGAGGGAGTGGAAGGGTCAGACAGTAGCTCAGTGAGACAAAGGAGTGCTGACAGAGGGTGAAACTTATGATGCCATAAGTATACCCATGCTTTCAGAGAGGCTTCGACATGGATCTGCAGTAATCCTTATCAAGTTATAGATAAACTCAGACGGCTTCATGCTACCTTAGAGGGAAAACTTTGGCAGTGAGCCAACACACACCTATCATGTCGGTCTGGGCGCCCGCTCCACCGCGCAGTTCCGCAGACATGCTAGACTCTGTTTCCATGACAACACAGAGGCAGGACAGGGCGGTGTCCGTTGCTAGGCGACGGAGAGAGGTCGCCATGGTAGGGTCAGTGAAACCGCACTCTAATAGGGTGATCTCCAAGGACTGAGAGAGGGAGTGGCTGTGAGAGAGAGGGGCGTCGGACACACCCACTCTACACACCAACTGAGGGAGGGGGATAGAACGTGAGAGGGAGGGAAAGAAGAGAGAAGTTAGTGAAAAGGTCATTGATTTCAAACAAACATTTCAGTTCATGTACAGTGCCTAGAAAAGTACTCATCCCCCTTGGCGCTTTTCCTATTTTGTTGCATTACAACCTGTAATTTAAATGGATTTTTATTTGGATTTCATGTAATGGACATACACAAAATAGTCAAAATTGGTGAAGTGAAATGAAAAAAATTACTTAACGGAAAAGTGGTGCGTGCATATGTATTCACCTCCTTTGCTATGAAGCCCCTAAATAAGATCTGGTGCAACCAATTACCTTCAGAAGTCACAGAATTAGTTAAATAAAGTCCACCTGTGTGCAATCTAAGTGTCACATGATCTGTCACATGATCTCAGTATATATACACCTGTTCTGAAAGGCCCCAGAGTCTGCAACACCATTAAGCAAGGGGCACCACCAAGCAAGCGGCACCATGAAGACCAAGGAGCTCTCCAAGCAGGTCAGGGACAAAGTTGTGTAGAAGTACAGATCAGGGTTGGGTTATAAAAAATAAATCAGAAACTTTGAACATCCCACGGAGCACCATTAAATCCATTATAATTTTTTTAAAATAATATGGCACCACAACAAACCTGCCAAGCGAGGGCCGCCCACCAAAACTCACGGACCAGGCAAGGAGGGCATTAATCAGAGAGGCAACAAAGAGACCAAAGATAACCCTGAAGGAGCTGCAAAGCTCCACAGAGGAGATTTAAGTATCTGTCCATAGGACCACTTTAAGCCGTACACTCCACAGAGCTGGGCTTTAAAGAAGAGTGGCCAGAAAAAAGCCATTGCTTAAAGGAAAAAATAAGCTAACACGTTTGGTGTTCGCCAAAAGGCATGTGGGAGACTCCCCAAACATATGGAAGAAGGTACTCTGGTCAGATGAGGCTAAAATTGAGCTTTTTGGCCATCAAGGAAAACGCTATGTCTGGCTCAAACCCAACACCTCTCATCACCCCGAGAACACCATCCCCACAGTGAAGCATGGTGGTGGCAGCATCATGCTGTGGGGATGTTTTTCATCGGCAGGGACTGGGAAACTGGTCAGAATTGAAGGAATGATGGATGGTGCTAAATACAGGGAAATTCTTGAGGGAAACCTGTTTCAGTCTTCCAGAGATTTGAGACTGGGATGGAGGTTCACCTTCAAGAAGGACAATGACCCTAAGCATACTACTAAAGCAACACTCAAGTGGTTTAAGGGGAAACATTGAAATGTCTTGGAATGGCCTAGTCAAAGCCCAGACCTCAATCCAATTGAGAATCTGTGGTATGACTTAAAGATTGCTGTACACCAGCGGAACCCATCCAACTTGAAGGAGCTGGAGCAGTTTTGCCTTGAAGAATGGGCAAAAATCCCAGTGGCTAGACGTGCCAAGCTTATAGAGACATACCCCAAGAGACTTGCAGCTGTAATTGCTGCAAAAGGTGGCTCTAAAAATTATTGACTTTGGGGGGGGGGGGGGGGGTGAATATTTATGCACGCTCAAGTTTTCTGTTTTTCTGTCTTATTTCTTGTTTGTTTCACAATGAAAAATATTTTGCATCTTCAAAGTGGTAGGCATATTGTGTAAATCAAATGATACAATTTTAATTCCAGGTTGTAAGGCAACAAAATAGGAAAATGCCAAAGGGGGTGAATACATTCGCAAGCCACTGTATTTGGTCTTTTACAGGAATTTGTCTCACATTCCCGAGTTAAATAAATTTACAGAGCTATATATACACATGCTATAGGTTTACAGTATTGAGGGTCAATACAAATTGTGATGCACAGTCAACATTTCATTTCTCTCTCCTACCTCGTTCTCTCTCGTTCTCTCTCTCTCTTTCGCTCACCTTGTAGAGGAGAGGCAGGTCCAGAGGTGAGCGACTTACGATGGCACACAGTCTGAAGGACAGGTCTGGAACCTGAGGCCTGCAGTCTGACACACACACAACATCTACTACTTCACTATGAAAACACCAGGAGGATCATCTATGGTAACGGCCGTAGTACATTACGTTGTACTAGAGTCCTTACAAGTTCAATATCATGTGAGGAACACATTCAATAATCATGAAAATAAGGTCCTTAAACCTCGAACTACCCCCCTCTGTTCCAGACTCAAAGCCCTCACCGGTGTACCGTTCCCAGGTGCGGTCCTCTACCCGCGGCCCAGGCTTCAGTGGGGAGCAGTAGACCTCCAGCAGTACTGCCTCTCCAGGGAGGAGCTGGGGCAGGAGATAACCTACCTTGGCCCAGACCTCATCCCTATTGTTCCTGGACAGGTAGACAGGGGGTGAGGTTGCCTCGCCCACGAACCTTCCACCACTGCACCTGAGCACCACCTATACACAAAGTAAAAGGAAAGCTTGAGGAAATGTGTACATTTACACAAATGCTGACTAAAATATCCTCTAACAAACAGGACATACACTTTCAGATCCCTTCATATCCTCAGACTCCAGGAAAGAGTCCACCTTGTTTCGGACGGAGTTCATCCCTCCCTCTGCCCCCATTTCCAGGTGCACCACCTCCACCCCTCCTGTCCTGCCCTCCTCCAGTCCCATCTGCCCCGGGGGCAACAGTAGGGCCAGCGTCGGGGGGCAGTGGATCTTGGCCTTCTGCAGTAGAACCCTGGTGGTTAGAACATCCCCCCAGAACCGACCCAGTGCGCCGGAACCTCCGCTTGGGCAGTCTGTCTCCCGGGTCACTTCCTCCTCAGCCCAAGGGTCACATGACAGGAAGTAGGTGACCCTGCGAGGGGGGTTAAAGTTGGAGAGGAAAGTACGGCCTCCCAGGTCAAAGGTGACAGCCTTGTGGACCAGGAGGGAGGGGGAGGAGTGAGAGAGCCAGGACGGAGAAAGACACAGGAGAGCATCTCCTAGAGAGAAGAGTGGAATGGTTGGGGTAGAGAGAGACCGAGGGAGGTAAACGAGAGAGAGAAAGAGGGAGGGACAGAAGGAGTGGGTGATGTGGAAAGTGAAGTAGAGAGAAATTGGATGGGGGTAAGAGAGAGAGAGAGAAAGATTCTTGACCGGTCACAGCTTTCCATGAAAATATAGGGGGGTTGACGTACCTAGAAAACTGGAAATATCATTGACATATAAACATTTCCATAGAAAAAGGTCAAAAGTCATAGAGGCGATCGTTTCACCTGTAAAATGAACTATTTTTTCATTTTTTCCCCCTCTCCACCACTGAAGTAAAGTGTTTTAATCTGGTATTGGTCATAACAGAGAGACAAAGCAGGAAATAGAATTACTATTTATGTATAAATAGAGTCAGGAAGGGCAGTGACAATCTCATTAAATGTCAACCTGCACTAGTGATCTTTCCCCTCAACCGTTTGGCCATCAGGCTAAAATTAGAGCTATTACTGTTAGACTCAGAGCTTTTCTCTCTAGGGGGCGATTATGTTATTTGATAATGACACCAATGAATCCCATAAAAGGAATACCGTTCCAACATATATTTTGCCGGCGATCTGGCAAGGCAAAGTTTTGAGGTCCATAGATGGTGAAGAAAGCCATGTACAAGCTAACACCATTATTGGAATCACTAAGGAACACTTGGAAGACCTCTTGGAAAACACTTTGGCACCTACTTTGAAAGGAAGGGTGTATGTTTTGACTGATGCTCTGGCCAAATAGGGTTTTACATCGATTCACTGTCAGATTTCTACAGGTTAGCAAATGCTGGTACTGGTTGGTATAAAGTACCAAAGTATAAATAAAGTGGAGTGATTTATATATCGGTTGTATTTCCTGTCTGGCTGTGTTCTGCTAGCGTACCTGGGCTCCGTTGGCCTACCTCCAACAGCAGAGAGAGGTAGGGGAGGGGGGATCCCAAAACGCAGACACACAGCTCAGAGTGACTCATACCTAGAAGAGAAGGAAAACAGTACAACAGCCATTAGTGACAAGGTCAAATTCCCCATGCATCAGTGCAGCCCTTCACTATGTAATAGAAAGTAGTTAATGAATGTTAGCCAATACAAAAGTTAGGTCCAAAAACAACCATATAGGGGCAGAAGGTCATCATTGCTCATTGAAGGACACACAACCTTATTGCTTACACCCCCACAGCCCTCTGGCCCTTTCCCGTCTGCAAACACTAAATGGGTAGGTGCTAGGGGAAGTGGCTAGGATCTTGCCTAGGGGTTGTTTTTGGACCAGGTGAGAGTAAACGGAAACACACCTGTTCACCTAGTAGCCCATTGACATATAGTACTAAACTCACTTGGTCTGGGTGACTCTGTGCAGGTTAAGATCCAGTGTTTGTGATAGGTTTAACTCTGGTGTTCAAACATTCAGAGCATTGCAGATAGAAAGGTAAGGTCATAGAGCAGCCACAATTCCCATGTCATAGGGATTGTAATAAACAGCGTCCGGTGTCTTTCTAGCCTGGTACATTTCTATCTGCATCATCCTGTACGTTTCAGCCGGGTGATCGTAGCCCGGGTCTCACCCTGTGGCAGGTCCTGTGTTTCAGGCAGGTCGATCTCCCTCAGAGCCTCTTGCAGGGTCTGGAACAGCGCCACCTCCTGGCTGGAGGACCATACCCTTGGTCCCCCAGTAGCACATCCTCCTGGAGAGGAGGGGAGGCTGGGGACAACGGTGCTGGGGAGAGAGCTGAGAGAGAGCTGTGGGGGACAGGGTGAGTGTGAGAGACATAATAACAATGTTGAAATTTTACATGTTGAGAGAAGGAGAAAGAGAAGGGGTTGTAAAATGACTTTACAGATGGATGTTCAGGGAGAAAAGAGGATAAAATGGTGATCATGAGCCAGAACAATGAGCCATTACAGGTTACTACTGATTTATAAACTATCTACAAATAATTAATAGTCTGTAACAACTTATAAACCATTTACAAACCCTCCATTAACTGTTTTTCCTTGATGTAAATGTTTTTTCCCTCAAGGAAAAGTGTTACCAAACACTGTCTGAGAGGAACATGAATGTCAGAGTGCCACCGATACTGTTAAACACATGCCACTGACAGCTGTGCGTGTACATCCCGCCCACGTAGTAAACACACCCATTCATTAACACACACACACACACACACACAGAGAGATATGGACTTTAAACACTGGAATTTATTACAACAAAGCATTGATTAATATGTTGGCCAGCAAACTTTGTTAACCTCTTAACGATCGGACCCTTTCTTTCAATTTTCGCCTAAAATGACATACCCAAATCGAACTGCCTGTAGCTCAGGACCTGAAGCAAGTATATGCATATTCTTGATACCGTTTGAAAGGAAACACTTTGACGTTTGTGGAAATGTTAAATTAATGTAGGAGAATATAACACATTAGATCTGGTAAAATATAATACAAACAAAAAAACATGCGTATTCATCTTTGAAATGCAAGAGAAAGGCCACAATATAATATTGCAGTTTAGGCGCAATTTAGATAGCAGCGTGTGTGCAAAGTTTCAGATTGATCCAGTGAAGCATTGCAATACTGGACTATTTTGTATCAAGTCTGCCCAAATGTGCCGAATTGGACAATTTATAAATGTTCAAGTACATAACTATAGAGAACATACAAACATGATATGATTCTACAAAATGTAAGTTTACACACTCCCAGGAATGTCATACATGATGGATCATTAGCTTATACACTAACTTTCACACATCTAGATGGCCGGGCGGGGTGGGTGTGGAGCCAGAGACAGCAGGGGTTCAAACTGTAGAACCCAGTTCCTACATTTGAATATAAAAATGGATTTTATCAAACAAAACTATGCTACATTTGATCTCTGGGACCCTTAGGATGATAAATCAGAGCAAGATTACTGAATGCAAGTACATTATTTACCTTCAGAGGTGAATGTATCAAACCAGTTGTCGTGATAAGTTTTGTTGTTGTTGTGCACTCTCCTCAAACAATAGCATGGTATATTTTCACTGTAACAGCTACTGTAAATTGGACAGTGCAGTTAGATTAACAAGAATTTAAGCTTTCTGCCCATATAAGACATGTCTATGTCCTGAAAAGTTTGCTGTTACTTACAACAGTCATGCTAATCACATTAGCGCACATTAGCTCAACCGTCCCGTATAAGGGACACCGATCCCGTAGAGGTTAAATACTAAGATATCTATCTTCTGGTTTATATGGGTATGAAGATAATCAAATCAGTTTTATCCTTGAGGGAAAAAACAATGTTTGAAGTTATCTTTTTTTATTACATTTTTTTACAGAAAATTATATCTTAGAATATTTATGAGTTAGCTGTTTAAATCATTGAACTTGCATTGTTAAATTCTCCGTGGCTCTCTCTACTTCAGTAACAGGTTGTGTGGGCGCTCAGATTATATACGATACACACAAACAAACCACATGCATTATTATGCAAAACGATCACCTACACAGCAACGGCATTGTTTGGTGTGCAATCACGTGAGAACAATACACACGGTCCACTTGTTCTCCTTCAACTCTCGTCACCCTCTCTTTGTCCTCTTCCCTCCTTCACCCCTCTCTCCCTCTATTTGCCCATCATCACCAGATATGTTTATTTACCTTCTCTTCTAATGACCTACACACCTGAAGGGTTTTACTCTACTGTTTAATTCCCACCACCATATACTTGTAGAGCTCCAGTAGTTTGCTGCCTGTATAAGACATTCAATGAAACTATAAATACTTATTGGCACCGCAGAAAACACAGCCCCACCTCTCGCTCAGCATTACTTGCACTGTAACCTATGTAAATCACACTTGACACTAAATTTAACACGATACGCACAGACCCTCGGACACTTTCTCTCTCTCACAGACAACAAGCAGAACTGTAAAGGTTCCGCGATGAACAGTCGCAGCTGCTTTCCCTCCAATCTCTCCCCATTCCTCTCTACAGCAATCGCTCAGCAGTCTCACTCCATTCCACCTCGTCGTTCAGTCTCTGCCACCCTGTCTTGGGCTCTCTTTCATTCCTCACGTCTATCACTTGTATTTCAACAAGCCTGTTGCACTCAATTGCATTTGATTGCCAAATACTGAAAAAAACGATTCAGTCAATTTATCAAATGTAATAAAATGCAGAGCAAGACCAAGCAAACCTTTGAAGACTTATCATGCATTAACATACAACAACTATCACACAATTATAGGAAAAACTTTGCAGAAAAGCTAAAGAACGCTTACTTCAAATAGAAATGTTGAAAACCTGCAGATATAAGCTTACATCAACGTTCATGCTACCCAACTCTCTTATTCAACTCACCATTATGTCTGCAGTGACCAAGTGGCAACCTGGAAATGACAGAAAGAGGAAGAAAGTGAGAGGGTAAGGTAAGAAAGGGAGGGAGGGAGGGAGGGAGGGAGGTAGGAAGGGAGCAAGCTGGAAAGGGTCAGAGGAGGGAGGGGGCAGAAATAGGAAATGTGGAGCATACTGAAAGCTGAGAAGAAGTAAAAACATAACAGGTGACATGCTATTCAACTTGTCTCTGTTTTCTTATGTAATATATTGTAAAAAGCCCATGTGAGCCTAATAAATCTAAGTGGCAGTATTATTAGTACGCTGACCTATAGACTATTTATAAACACAAACACATTGTGAGAGCCAAGGCACTTCCATAGACCTCGGCGATCACAGGAATGCCAACCTGTTGGTCGGTTGTGACACCCTGCCATGCAAATGATGCTACGGATGTTACGTCCCCAATTCCTTACATGTAAATACTTATTGGCGTAGTCTGCAACTTAAATGGGCAAGATAACTTGGTTTACCGTTTTCCATCGTTTAATCCCTTTCTGTAATTGAAGAAAGGCAATACAACCTAACTCTCTGAAAGAACAATGGTAAATCACTTGTACACCAACACATTACACAGACATTATAGGCTACCCTTTTTTCAACCCTGGTTAGGGCTGTGGCGGTCATGAAATTGTGTCAGCCGGTAACCATCATGCAAATAACTGTCGGTCTCACGGTAATTGACTGTTAATGAACATAAACATATTTAGCATCTCCCGGCTTCCACGCATCGCCTACAAGCCACTGATGCAGAATTTTTGAACATTTACATTTGAAAAAGTCTTATAATTCCATTTAATATAGCCTACTCCATCACAATAAATCCATTATTTATTTTAGGCAGGTCTAAAGAAATATTATGATATGAAGAAAATGTAGCCTATTTCAGAAGAACAGAATAGCATATTCTGAGTCGTCCTTATGTTAGGCACTGATCTGGCTATGCCATATGGCTATACCAGTTCATTTAGCAGACAAGATTAGCTTATAATTCCCGTGGCATTATTTTATATTCTTTTCTAGTAAGAAGGATACAATTGAACATACTGTAGCTGAATAAAATAGAAAGGGTATTTTTCCCCAAACGATTTCAGAGGGAGTGCGCACATGCAGCTATTCTGTGTTGAGCAGTTAACCAAGTGATTATTTGAAACAGGTCCTCCTATATGCTTAAATGGAAATGTAAAAAAAATGTCAGCTTCATATTCATCTCCAGCACCACCCCAACATCAACATACAGTATGTGAAAATGGTGTGTTTCTATGTTTTGTACAAAAAAAGATAGAGGAAGATGAGTGTTTCCAATGACATCATCAACTAATTATACTGAACAAAAATATAAACGCAACATGTCAAGTGTTAGTCCCATGTTTCATGAGTTGAAATAAAAGATCCCAGAAATGTTCTATATGCACAAAAAGCGTATTTCGCTCTGATTTTTTGCACAAATTTGTTTACATCCCTGTTAGTTAGCATTTCTCCTTTGCCAAGATAAATCCATCCACCTGATAGGTGTGGCATATCAAGAAGCTGATTAAACAGCATAATCATTACACAGGGGCACCTTGTTCTGGGGACAATAAAAGGCCACTCTAAAATGTGCAGTTTTGTCACACAATGCCAGATGTGTTAAGTTGAGGGAGCGTGCAATTAGCATGCTGACTGCAGGAATGTCCACCATTGAAAAGGCATGGGACAACATTCGACAATCAACAGCCTGATCAACTCTTTGCGAAGGAGATGTGTCGCGCTGCATGAGGCAAATGGTGGTCACACCAGATACTGACTGGTTTTCAGATCCACGCCCCTACTTTTTTTTTTAAGGTATCTGTGACCAAGAGATGCATATCTGTATTCCCAGTCATGTGAAATCCATATATTAGGGCCTAATGAATTTATTTCCTTATATGAACTGTAACTCAGTAAAATCTTTGAAGTTATTGCATGTTGCGTTTATATTTTTGTTCAGCGTAGTAGACAATTAGTGGGCATTGCCTACTCATAATTGGTTAAAATCACATGATGCATACCAATGATGTCATTGGAAACTTATTTTCCTCTATCCTTTTCACTAAAAAACATAGAAACGTGGCATTTTCACATATGTTGATGTTGGGGTGGTGCTGGAAATGATGAATATAAGGTTTCAAAATTGTGAAATGTTCCTTTAATTTAGAGTTATTTATGCAACTTTAGTTGTGATACAAACCTTATGCTATATGTTTTGATTTCTAGTACAATCGAAGGCTGCATGATGCGACTCTAATGATGATTTGAAAAAAGTTGCATGAAAGGCATGTGCTCTGCTCTGTTTCTTACGCAGGCTGCACACACTTCATCAGCCTCTCATTCACAATTTGACAGGCACTTGAAAATATTCTCATCCATCAGACTATTCTCAATTTAATCTGGTCTTTACATATAGCCTACTAATATACAGTGCCTTCCGAAAGTATTCATACCCCTTGACTTTTTCCACATTTTGTTGTGTTACAGCCTGAATTTTATATGAATTAAATTAAGATTGTTTCACTACACACAATACCCCATAATGTCAAAGTAGAATTATGTTTTTAATTTATTTTTTACAAATTCACTCAAAATGAAAAGCTGAAATGTCTTGAGCACAGGAGGTTGGTGGCACCTTAATTGGGGAGAACGGGCTCGTGGTAATGACTGGAGCAGAATCAGTGGAATGGTATCAAATACATCAAAACACATGGTTTCCAGCTGTTTGATGCCATTCCATTTGCTCTGTTCCGGCCATTATTATGAGCTGTTCTCCCCTCAGCAGCCTCCACTGGTCTTGAGTCAATAAGTATTCAACCCCTTTGTTATGACGCCTAAATAAGTTCAGGAGTAAAAATGTGCTTAACAAGTCACATAAGTTGCATGGACTCACTCTGTGTGCAATAGTGTTTAACATGATTTTTGAATGACTACCTCATCTCTGTACCCCACACATAAAATTAACTGTAAGGTTGATCACTTGAGCAGTGAATTTCCAACACAGATTCAACCGCAAAGACCAGGTAGGTTTTCTAATGCCTCGCAAAGAAGGGCACCTATTGGTAGATGGGTTAAAAATATAAAAAAACATACATTGAATATCCCTTTGAGCATGGTGATGTTTTTAATTACACTTTGGATGGTGTATCAATACACGCAGTCACTACAAAGATACAGGTGTCCTTCCTAACTCAGTTGCCGTAGAGGAAGGAAACCGCACAGGGATTTCACCATGAGGTCAATGGTGACTTTAAAACAGTTAGAGTTTAATGGCTGTGATAGGAGAAAACTGAGGATGGATCAACAACATTGTAGTTACTCCACAATACTAACCTATATGACAGCGTGAAAAGAAGGAAGCTTGTACAGCACACGTGTCAAACTCATTCCACGGAGGGCCGAGTGTCTCCGGGTTTTCGATCCTCCCTTATACTTGATTGATGAATTAAGGTCACTAATTAGTAAGGAACTCCCTTCCCCTGGCTGTCTAGGGCTTAATTGAAAACCAGCAGACTCTAGGCCCTCCATGGAATGAGTTTGAAACCCCTGCTGTACAAATTTACAATATTCCAAAACATGCATCCTGTTTGCAATAAGGCACTAAAGTAAAACTGCAAAAAATGTGGCAAACAAATTAACTTAATGTCCTGAATACAAAGTGTTATGTTTGGGGCAAATCCAACACAACACATCACTGAGTACCACCAAGTGTTTTGGGGGATAAAAATAAAATGGAATAGAGCTAAGCACAGGCAAAATCCTAGAGGAAAACTTGGTTCAGTCTGCTTTCCAACAGACACTGGGAGACAAATTCACCTTCCAGCAGGACAATAACCTAAAACACAAGACCAAATATTAACTGGAGTTGCTAACCAAGAAGACAGTGAATGTTCCTGAGTGGCCTATTTACAGTTTTGACTTAAATTGGCTTGAATATCTATGGCAAGACTTGAAAATGGCTGTCTTGCAATGATCAACAACCAATGTGACAGAGCTTGAAGAATTTTAAAAATAATTATGTGCAAATATTGTACAATCCAGGTGTGCAAAGCTCTTAAGACTCACAGCTGTAATCGCGGCCAAAGGTGATTCTAACCTGTATTGACTCAGGGGTGTGAATACTTATGTAAATGAGATATTTCCGTACTAAAAAAATAATTTAGTCTATTTTGAATTCAGGCTGCAACAACAAAATGTGGAATAAGTCAAAGGGTATGAATACTGTCTGAAGGCACTGTATGTGTGGAATTATTTTTTATTTAAAAAACATGTAATCCGTAGAACGATTGCACAATGACTGGGCTTATAAGAACACGTTTCACTAGGCTCTGTAGGCTATGGGCTTTCCAACCCTGTTCCAGGGGTCTTTGGCCTATAGGCTGCCCTTAGAGTTATTTGGCCACTTCAGTTGTGATATACAAACCTTATTAAAATAGGCCTATGGGCTAGGCTACATTAGGCCTCTTCTTGCCTTAGACTGCACACGCTGGGCATCATTCACAAGGAATAATATTCTCACCCATCAGACTATTCTCAATGTAATCTTGTCTTTGCATATACTAAATCATATATGTGTGAAATTAGTTTTGATTTAGAATGGACCACTATCATGCACCTGTCGGAACAGAAAAAAAAGACATCATCCGTATGCACTTGAATAGCGGACGCTTTTCCCACTGTTCATTTTCATGCTAGCTAGGTAGGCTACACCGGTTGTAAAGCGAAGCAATGTGCTTAATATATGGAAAGTCGAGAAATAAATATAGTAGGCCTAGCCTATAGAAAGCTGATGGGATCCTCCTCTTTTAAATAAGAGGCCATCAAAACTCTGTTTTCTCGCGCAATTGCATAGAATAGCCTATAGAAATGTTGTGCAACATGGGCTTATAGGAACACATTTCATTCCATGCATCAACCAGCTATGAGGAGCTGACTCTCGCTGTGCAACAGGTGATCCTATTCCACTCAAACGCTGATTGCCAGGGCTCTCATTAAATATTTAATTCGATTTTCGATTTCATTTGCATTGATGTCAGCGTGATTTGAAAGAGAATAGAGCGCTGATTACCATGCCATTAGCGACTGGCTATTAGCAAGTTTGGTAGGCTACTGGTCACGTGGAATTTGACTGAGGTCATGACTCGTGACTGCCGGTGTTGTGGTAATACATCACCGTAACGGCCCTAACCCTGGTTATTGTTGCCCTTTAAGTCAACCACTCTGTATGAAGCTTGCCAATGTAAACAGACTGAGGAGATTGCGGGGAGGAGCCAGGCTGTACCAGGACAGACGTTGATTGGCAGGGGAGGAGCCAGGCTGTACCTCTGTTCCACCTCTGCCAGCCCTGTACAGGTGAGTGTCGACTAAAAGGGACGATCCCCTACCTTATCAGGTGCCATGGAGGTGTAGGACAGGGATGGAGGAGAAAGGTACAGTCCGACACTATCAGTACGTCTCGCTACTTCACACAGGCTCTACCCTGCCGGCCTCCTTGGCTATCTGACCACTGGGATAGTCAAGGGCTTTTAGACGTCTGAAACACACAACACAGACAAAAGTAATTTAATCAGAAGTAATCAACAGTTATCAACCTAATGATTGATGCGAACAGGTGTGTATGTTTACTGTTGAGTCACTAACCTTGTTCACTGGACACTTCCTCGCTATGCGCAATTAGCTTGGGGACAAGGTTACTGAGTCACTCACACGCACACCTGCTGTACTAATCGAACAAAAACAAGAGGCTCCAAAGATATCATATTCTGTTGGTTTAATTTGGCATTTTATTAAAGCAGTGTAAAAATAACATCCTATTGATATCCAGCACATATTTACATTTGAACATCTTCACATAATTGTATAAAAACTTTTGAAATGTACTAGTAGGTTTTCTGAGTAGACCTGTTTAAAACATTTGGAAGTCTTGGGTTTGTGGCTATCCCGTTCAGTAGGCTCCTCATGGGGATGCAGAGGTATCCACCTTTAACAACAAAACAAAGCATTAATAAATGTCTGTACTCTAAAACACATACACTGAGTGCCAGGTGCACCGGTTTGTGTCAAGAACTGCAACGTGGCTGGGTTTTTCACGCGCAACAGTTTCCCTTGTGTATCAAGAATGGTCCACCACCCAAAGGACATCAAGCCAACTTGACACAACTGTGGGAAGCATTGGAGTCAACATGGGCCAGCATCCTTGTGGAACGCTTGACACCTTCTAGAGTCCATGCCCCGACAAATTGAGGTTGTTCTGAGGGCAAGGGGGGGAATGCAACTCAATATTAGGAAGGTGTCCTTAATGTTTTGCACACTCAGTGTATATGTATACCCACGTACAGATGTACACACACCCGGCCTGTGTCAGGGCAGAGTCCTCACCGTGCAGTGTGGGGGCAGGTGATGTTCCAGCAGGTGGGTTGCTCTGAGGCGGATGGTCTCCTGGTTGCTATACTGGATGGCTTCCAGCACCGGGAGTCCACTCTGCCTCACAAACTCCTCTGCCAGCTGAGAAGAAGAACCACTGCTTCATCGAAGTCATCCTCTAGCTGCCTGTGCTAGTCTGTTTCTGCCAGATATCACATTTACAGCCCCCTTTTTCCATACATTAAAGACAGCATATAAACAATGCAAGACTAAGACAGCATATTAAACATTGTTTATCGCTAACAACAAACTATGACATCTGCATGGCAGGCAGCCATCTTTAGTGTGGCGGGGTGTTGGGAGCCTTCCCTACCTGTGGGTCACTGGCCACCAGCTGGCCCAGCACCTCCAGGCTGAAGGTCACCACCTCAGAGTCGGCCATCTTGAGTGTGGCACAGAGAGCAGGCAGCAGGCCAGCTTGAGCCAGGTGGAGACAGTACTCTCTCCCCTGATGGGCAATGTTAGCCAGAACCCTTAGCACCTGAAAGGGTTGGGGGTGAGGAGGGAGAAAGATTTTAATTCAATCTAAATGTCACATCCTTTCCCTAACCCGAGTAAAACTGCTGATGTCTATAGTGTATGGCTCAGTGGATTGGAGCAGTGGATGTAGAAGCATAATGCTGCCCACATCAAGGTTGAATGGGCCAAATAATACTGGGAAAAATTTGTATTAACAGTAAGTTGTAAGTCACCTTTCAGGGAAGTGTTGGCTTGATAACAATGTTACTACTATGAACAGAAGCGTCAGTGCACTGACCATGATGTTGATGCCGTGGGAGAAGGGCAGGAGCTGGATCAGAGTAGGAACCAGATTCAGATAGAACAGGGCAGAACAGAACACACTGGAGTCTGCAGCAGCTGATGGAGGGGAAGGGGGGGAGAGAGAGATGGAATAGGAGAGGGAGAGCAGACGGTAGAGAGGAGAGAGATTCCTGACCGGTTATCAGAGGTCACATAAAGTTCAGCTGAAAAAAGCGGAACTTTATGTGACATTATGTACACTGTACATAATGACATCATGTAAACTGGAGATTAAAAATCATATCAAGGAAACAGTACCACAGAGTAAGACACAATAATGACATACTTAGGGGCATGTTTTTTTTGCCCTGACTACGTGACCTGACCAGGAAACACCTGACCAGTTACAGTACACAATCAGATAGAGCAGGGCAGAACACACTGAAGTCTGCAGCAGCGGATAGAGAGAGAGAGAGAGAGAGAGAGAGAGAGAGAGAGAGAGAGAGAGAGAGAGAGAGAGAGAGAGAGAGATGGAGACTTCCACTATGAAGAAGTCAGCTGAAGCAAGCGCACACATTTTCTTCACGAAATGTACCTTTCCTACTTTATTCTCTAATTTGCTCACTTTCATCCTTCTTGTCAGAAGCTTTGAAAACACACACAGAGAGAAAGAGAGAGAGAGCGAGAGAGAGCAGAAGGTAGAGAGGAGAGAGATTCCTGACTGGCCTGAGAGGATGGAAGTCAAATATGTAGCTAGACGTAGTAGGCTAATTTTAACTAGCCGGCTAATCGTTGCCCATGAAATGAAGTTAGGCTAGCGAGTAAGCATTTTAGCCAGGTAGCCTAGGACAACAATTAAAAGCATGTACTGTATGACAAAGTCATAGACCGTTTCGGCAACATGAAAGAGAGGAGGACGGCATTGAAACAAAGGTGTGGTTGAATTTGAACTAACAGGTTATAGAGCAAACAACGCAATTATCACAACACATAGGTTGTAATATGGCTTTTTTCCCCTGGCTTGGCTTCCCCAGTCATTTTACCCACGCACTGCTACTGCCCTGACTACATTTACATTTACATTTTAGTCATTTAGCAGACGCTCTTATCCAGAGCGACTTACAGGAGCAATTAGGGTTAAGTGCCTTGCTTAAGGGCACATCGACAGATTTTTCACCTAGTCGGCTCGGGGATTAGAACCAGCGACCTTTCGGTTACTGCCACAACGCTCTTACCCACTAAGCTACCTGCCGCCGCCTACGTGACCAGACCAGGAAAAACCTGACCAGTTACAGTAATGCTGTAACTTTTCCTGGCCAGGTCAAATGATAAATGTGTCCCGTCAAAGGAGTTAAATCAATCATGTTTGAATGAGTTGACATTTATGATATGATGGATATAACACAAGCATTCAATATGGCCGAGCTCCAGAGTGTGAAGGGAGTGATGTATTACCGCTGCTGAAAATATGGTCACTTTATATGACAAGCAGTTATCTATACAGATTTATAACACAAACAGATGCATGAGTCAATTCACTCTCTCTCACACACACACAGCCTTGTCTCACCTGTGAGGTTGTTAAGGACCCAGATGCTCTCTCTGGCCAGGGCTGGGTGGGTCTGGAGGAAGGCCTGAGAAAACGCACACAGAGCAGCCAGGAGACGGCTATCGTTTAGCTGGGGCTGCAGGGCCCCCAGGGGCCCAGATAACAGCAGGTTCCCCACGCAGCGCAGCAGGGGCCAGATCAACTGGAGAGGAGAGAGCGAGAAAGGAGGGCGGGGGTGTAGATTATGACAGTAGCCTAGGTTATCTACATATCTATTCATCTCATCAAATGGATTCCTTGCGTTCTGGTGCAGTTGGTGCCTTTCAGCCACACAGTTACAACACATGTACTTGTATTGTTTGGAAGAGTAACTGAGTTTGGATTCAGCGACTACTCACCAGCTCCATTCCCTCCTCTGTACTTCCTTTAGCAACAGCACCACCAAGTGTCACCAGGAGGGAAGTGCACTGTAGAAGAGTCCCTTGGGCCACCAGTGCCCCATTGTCCACGTTGCTTTAGACAAGAGAGCAACAAACAGACAAAGGAATCATTACTAAATCCATGGCAACAACAGACAGACAGAGTAACTGGTCCTCCTGGGTGACACGTTACACCCAGGTTAAGGTGATATAGTGTGCATCCGAAATGGCAACCTATTCCCTACAAAGTCCCCTACTTTTGACCAGGGCCATTAGGCTCTGGTCAAAAGTAGTGCACTATAAAGGGAATAGGGTGTCATTTGGGACGAACCTGATTCTAAGGTGAAGTGTCTGACCTGCAGGCCAGGTAGTGCAGGCACCAGGCACACTCAATGGCTGGTCCCAGGCCAAACTGAGAGTCAGGGGTCAACACTGAGAGGAGGTGAGGGATCAAACCAGACGCCAAGACTGCCCTACAGACAAACGGACAGGAGAGGAGAGCATAGCCCTGACTATGAAGGGATCACTCAATGGCGTCTCTGAATGGTGTCTGATGAAGTTTCTATAGTATAGTATAATATTATCCCTCAGTTTAGCTACAACCATGATGTTAACTTACGGGATGATTCTCCCTGTGACGTGGTTCGCTGAGATGAGCTGGGAGAGGGTGAACCCCACTGCTTCAACCACTGCCAGGTTTGTCCTGTGGATCTACACACACAAACACGAATATAGTGTGCTATAAGGAGTCAATTGCAGGTTGGTCCATTGGCAGACAGTACAGAGGTTTGTAGCTGACCTGGATGCAGCTGGTCAATGCAGGTATGATGCCCTGAGCTAGAAGCATATCTCTCACATTCTCACTGTCTGGACACATGTTACCCAGGGTGTACAGACACAGCTCCTGTAGAGAAACACACACCCACACAACATACAAAAGTGAGAAAAACATATACTGTAATACTTCACTAGGCTGTTTGAAAAGACTGTTGTAAGGTGCTGTGTACGAGCTGTGGGACTGACAGTGAACTTGGGGCTCTGTCCAGAGAGGAAGGTGATCAGGTAGGGTGTGGCCTGTCGGAGCCTCCAGGAGTCCACCTCGTGGTGGGGGGAGTGGGACAGCTCGTGGAGACAGCGGGCAGCCTCCAGACGACACTGAGGGTTGGGGCCACTGAGGTTAGTCACCAGGATCGCAATACTGCTCTGCTGCCTGAGCACAGATGGGACGGACAGACAGAGACGAGAAATGAAGGCCCATACTGATATATACACATATATACAGTCCCTCTCAAAAAACCTCTTAGATTTCTTCACTTTTTATTGTTTTACAAAGTGGGATTAAAATTGATTTAATTGTCATTTTTTGTCAACAATCTACACAAAATACTGTAATGTCAAAGCGGAAAAAATATACAGTACCAGTCAAAGGTTTGGACACACCTACTCATTCATTTCTACATTGGACGACATTGAAATGTAAACTATGCTAATATTTTTTTTAGGTGGTTTGACATTTTATTCAGACTAATTAAATTAGATAGGGAGACAGGCAAATACTAGAAACAGTGGGAAGGTTAGAAGCAGGGATTGATCCCTGTTCTCAGTGTTACCACTACACCAAGGCTCTGCACAGAAAATAGTAATGGTCGATGGCAGTGGTTAACCTATTCATAGATTGCAGTCTCCTTGTCCATAGACTGCTTTCAAGGTAAGGACACAAACATTTTGTATTTTGTCATTTGGGTGAACTCTCTCTTTAAAATAGGGCAGGAAGAAAATCCTGCTTGCTCGCCAGGAGGGTTGGCCACCCCTGATTTATGTTTCCCAAGTGCTGGGTGTTTGAAAATGTTGTTGTTATAACACTTAATTTCTCAAAATCACCAAACCTTCATGAAAAACCAAATGAATATCAATATTCAGGTGGTTTATACCTACTAGTTGAAGATCCCTGCCATCATCTTACTCTACATAGACACAATATGATGTGTTTATGAGTTGCCTAGCATGTGCACAATACTAAAATGTCAAATTATTTTAGATTCCTGGAGCATTTAATATCCAACGCTTATATGGGCGGCAGGTAGCTTAGTGGTTAAGAGCGTTGTGCCAGTAACCGAAAGGTCGCTGGTTCTAATCCCCGAGCCGACTAGGTGAAAAATCTGTCGATGTGCCCTTGAGCAAGGCACTTAACCCTAATTGCTCCTGTAAGTCGCTCTGGATAAGAGCGTCTGCTAAATGACTAATTATTATTATTATTATTATTATTATTATTTGTATGACTTATTCAAGACTGTCCATGAATGGCTGCAAAAATACATAGCCTCATAATTCATTTTGAAAGACAAGTAGGCATATAGGTTCAAATATGTGTTTACACAAGCAACATGTGGAAGAAATGGAGTAATACACTAAGTGTGGGGGAAACAGTAGTGTTCTTTCTGACAAGCACAGTAATTACCCTAATAATCTCCTGAAGACAAGATTATATAAATTTGCCCCTACACCCTAACCAAATAATTTTTATATTTATTGTCTCCCCTCTAGAATCAAACTTAAACTTTTGGGTTCACAATCTGTTTGACAAAATTATTTTCATAGTTACAAATCAGGTCACCAAATGTCCCTGCTAAAACATACTGTAGGTCTGTCTGCTGCCTTTTTGTTGTCACAGCCTAAATGGCAATCACCAAACGAGGGGACTAGTGCAAATGAGGATTAAATCGACTTTAGTACATGCTGTCAAAAAGCTGCATTCTGCAATAGAGACGGGAGTAAAAGCAACCTAATTTTGTTGACAACACTGTACATAAAACAGTGCTACTCTTTTTACAGTTTTATAAACTCAGTGGAGAACCTTCTCTCTCTCCATTCAGCTCCACTCTAATCTTGAGGGGCGTTTCTTTAAAACATGCATCCAATCCTCTTGATCCCTTACATAATGTTACGCGTTCACAGTGCTGTGGCAAGGCAGGACAATGATACAGGTTCCGCTCGTGATGTTAAATTGCAGGCGCAGATGCTCCAATTTCAAAACGAGTTGGAGCACAGTTGAAAAGTTAACGCGCTGACAATACAATGGACGAATTTGAAAAATTAAAGCAGTACTTTTCAATGCGTGAGATTTAAGAGGTGTACCGTGAGAGCGTGAGAAGAGGGTAAAATGTGTGTCTCAAGGCCAATGCGTGAGAGTTGGCAGCTCTCTAGTTACAGAATATTTGTAAATCTTTTTTTTTTTTTTATTATGAATTTTTCTTCCAATTTGACATTAGAGTATTTTGTGTAGATTGTTGACCAAAGAAATTACAGTTAAATACATTTTAATCCCACTTTGTAACACAATCAAATGTGAAGAAATCCAAGGGGTCTGAATACTTTTGCAAGACACTGTACATGTACCCACACACACAGAGAGAGAGAGAGAGAGAGAGAGAGAGCGAGAGAGAGAGAACTTCATACTTGATGAAGATGAGGTGGGCTGAGGGGCTGCGGAGGGCTTTCCTCAGAGCTCTTAGGTCAGCCTCTTTCTTCACCAAGTCCCTGCCATGGTGAACCATCTTGAACAACTCTACCACCTAGGGAGAGAAAGAAAACCAGGAAAGAACATGTGTGATACTCAGTAGTACCCTTCAATTAACAGTTGTTGTGCTTCTCTGCTGGGTTGCTGACTAGAATCTTCATCTCTGACAGTGGTTGTTATACAAGAGCCCAATACCTGATCATTGGCCAGTGTGTCCATGGTGCCATCCTCCTCCTCATCATCATTCAGCAGGAGTCTCTTGCTGACCAGCTGTCTGTCCTTCCGGGCCCGTCTTAACTCTACAGTGAGAGACCCAGCAAATCAACTTAGAGCAATGACAACCGTAGCTGCACAATACTTATATGGTATATGTAATGACTACGGGTGAACGGTTAGTATGTAATGTGATAATGTTAACACGCATCCCGCGCACATGACATCACTACTTGGAGGCCAGGAAATTCCACCACCATGCACGATTTGTACGGCTCCGGTTACTTTGAATAAATATTACATCAGTTTATAAAGAACAAGTGTTTCTAAAGTTTTGTATTAATTTCACAATAAGATACAGCAATGTTATAGAGGGAATATATAGAGAGCGTAGCTTGTCAAGTCTAACCACAGCTGGCAAGGTAGCTAGCTAACGTTCAGCTAGCTCACCTTTCTCATGTGCTCGCCTCTTGAACTTGAACTCCTCCAAGTCGCTGCCATGACGACCAGCTTTGTGGCGGACTACGTTCAACCTCCACATTTCATCTATCGACCAACTTATCAGTTTTAATAAGTTAAATAGCTACGTTAATAGGCCATATGAGCTAGAATTTGATCTTGTCAGGCAAGCCAAGAGTTGTTGACATAATCTTCTTTGTCGGAAAATCGGATACAGTAATGTTATTACACAATGTGCGTATTGCCACCTATCGGACAGGCATGGCATGGTCCATCTTCAGGAACGCAATTCTTCAAAGCACTGAAGAAGACTCCAAGACACCAACACCAGAAAGAGAAAGTGTTTAAAGACAAGTTTTTGGCACCTCAAACCCACTGTAACAAAATGGACACAAAAAACACAAACTGTGGAAAAATATGACTTTTAATTCCATGAAAAAGATACAGTAAACACATCTGACCATGAAACTTAAAAAAAACCATTTTCCCTAGTAGTTAGTATCTCTCATATATTTTCGATCTTATTCTCTTACCATTCATATTATGTATTCATTACTAGGGTGTTGGGGTTAAGCAATGTTGGGTTTAAGCAATACCATTCATATTATGTATTCATTACTAGGGTGTTGGGGTTAAGCAATGGCTCTGGGTTTCATTACTGTATTGAGGTTCATGATCATTCCCTCCATTTAGGATCGGCCTTATCCACCATGTGAGACAAAGCAGCAGATGCTGTCATAAACTTAACATTTCCATGAATCATTCTGTTTATCGCTGTCACAAGAACATGCAAGAAAACACATAAAAACAGCTGCAGTACATCACATAGTATGCCATCTTCAAATAGGAAACTACAGTTTGAAACTGTACAGTTAAAAAATGTGATAAACAAATAGGCTAAAAAACACTGTTTCAACTTTAGCAAAACAGGAAAAGTGTTCATTTGTTACAGTATACAATGTTGTAAAAAAAAAGAACAAATCCCCAGTTGATCTGGTCTAGGGACACCATTGTGTGGACGGACAGTCTTCACCCGTTACTGCTCCACTACCATTTAGGTAGAACGGGTCCAGGTCCACACACTTGAGAAAACCCCTTGTAGATGGTCTTCATCTTTAAAGGCCTTACTTACTCTTAGATTATTTATTTTTCTGAGGAGAATAAAACCCAAAACATTTAGGGCTCTGTTATTTTTGCCAGTTATAGGTATTGAGCTGAGGCATGCAGTGAGTAGTATAAGCATGCTGGAATGGAAGGTCAAGAAAAAGCATGTGTGTCTGTCTAGCTATAACTTCTGCGCCTTGATGATGAAGATGAGGTGAACTTCCTTACCTTTTTAGGAGGGGTCTCTGTGGGTGCTGGAGGATGCTGTACAGGGATGGAGTCTTGGGCAGGGGTGACTGGCATCTCAGCCACTGCAGTCTCTGAGAGTTTAAGCTTTTTCTTCTCTGTAGAGTTTTTATTTATATACATTTTATTACACAATCACTTTCAGTATAGAATAATATAGAATCATATTTTTTTCACTCTCTGAAACAAGGTTTTTAAAGGAAGAGTCACTCACTTTTCTTCTTTGTTGGAGGATCAGGTGTTACTGTGGTGGATGGAGGTGGTGGGTCCTTGTCAACACAGTTCTCATTAGTTTTCTTCTTCTTCTTTTCCTTTTCCGGTTCCATCTTAGTCTCATTCTCCTTTCTCATCTTCTCCTGTTTCTTCTTCTTTTCCTTCTTCTCCTTTCCTGCCCCATTCTCCTTAGTCGTCTTCTTCTTTTTCTTCTTTTCCTTCTCTGGTTCCTTCTCTTCTACAGTCTCAGTTTTCTTTTCATCAGTCTTCTCTTCGCCGGTCTCCCTTTTCTTCTTCTTTTTGGGTTCTGGTGGATTCTCATCTGCTTTAGTCTCATTGTTGTTCCCATTTTTCCTCTTACCTTTCTTGGCTGATAGTTTTCCATTAGGTGTTGTGGTAGCAGGCGTGGAGGGTGGCTGTTTGTCTGCCACAGTCGTAAGGTCGGCATTATTATTGTTGATCTCCTCTGCTTGGCCTTCAGGGGATGGGGTGGGAGGTGTTTTGACTGATAGGGTGGGAAGTGCTGCCTTCTTAGCCTGACTGGACTTGGCTTTACTGGCTTTTGCTGGTGTCTTGGTCTTCCCTTTCCCCTCAGCCCCATCTTCCTTTTCAGCTGTAGTCTTGACCTTTTTAGCAGGACTAGCCTTTTTCACTGCAGCGCCAGCCTTGGGTTTAGGTGTCTTCGGTGCAGCTTTAGCCCTGGGTTTGGGGGGCGTTTTCGGTGCAGCTTTAGTCCTGGGCTTCCTCGGGGCTCTTGTTTTCTTCGCTGCTGAGGCAGGAGCAGGTGGAGCGTTCAGCGCAGTGAAGGTGTCCATTTTGCCGATGTCAGTGTCTGTGGACAGAGAGGTGGGTAGACAGTAAATAAACAACATGGCTACCTTGGAGACCTACTCTGAACTCTCAACTGTCAACACCTGTACTTTACATAAAAGACATCATACAGTTCTGTTTATATTGACTCACAAAATTATTCCATAATTAAGTTATTAAAGGGTGATGCTGTGTGTCTTCTGGCTGTTATGACGCTTTTGAATCCTCCCCCGCTCTCTGACTCACAACCCCTCTTTGTCCACTAATCTTCCTCCTGCTCTCTTCCTCGGTCTCCCTCCCCCTTCCCTCTCTTTCGCCTGACCCTCACTCGCCCTCCTCCTTTTCCACAGTTTTTCCCTCTCTCTCACCTGACAGTTCCAGTGCCAGTCTCTTCCACTTCTCCACGTCCAGATCGGTGTCAGAGTCTGAGCTAGAGTCGTCTCCCCCTGTAGGAGGAGGACCAAGAAGGGTCAGAGGCAGGGCAGCCATGACAGTCTCAGGGGAGGGCTTCTTCTTTTTGCCTTTAACGGGCGTGTCCCCTGGTTTGTCTTCCCCTCTTTTCCTCTTGGCTGATGGAGCTGAGGCCTGAAACAAGGGTTGGTAAGAAGAATTCAGTTACACAGAATGATCTAGCTAACAAACACTTGAGGATATGGTTCCCAATGAGCATATACATATAAGAAAATAAGTCAATGCAATTTAATACAGTGAGTTAGTATCTGTACTTGGGATTTTTTCGATGAGGTTGCTTTCTTGTCTTTTGCGGCCACCTTCTTTCCTTTAGATGTGGCTGGAGCAACTACAAACAAGAAACAGAGACAAAAAAACATACAGTAATGAAGACCATCAATGCAGAACACACATAGGGCCACAGAGGAGTTTGCACAAAAACCCTGCACCATAACACCAGTACATACCAGCAGGGGTTACTGTAACAGCTGGAGTTTCCTCAACTGAGGAGTCTCCACTTCTACCACGCTTCTTCTCAGTGGCTTTAGCTGTGGGTGACTGGTGAAGGAATATCAAAAGGTTAGAATAAGGCTAATCATAATCTACATCTCATAGCTCCTGGTTTGAACAGGAAGAGGTATATTGATCTTACAGAGAGACTGTTCAGCAGTAGGAGTAGGTCCTTAGAAGCCGTTTTCTTTCCCTTCCCCCAACTCTGGGCCTTCTTGGCTGAAGCAGGGGTCTTAAGTTCAACCTCAGCCTGCTTCGCTGGGGCTTCATCTGGGATGTCTGATGGTGAGTCACTGCTGTCACTGGACGACTCTGGTGCTGTCCTTGTAGGTGTGACAGTGGGTGTTGCCTGGGCCTTGCTTGGTGTAGCAGCAACAACTGGCTTAGCTGGAGTAGCAGGAGTGACTTTCAGTTTTGCTTGTTTCGCTGGTGTCACTGGTGTTGCTTTTGGTTTTGAGGTTGTTGTCTACAGCAGTGTGAAGATGAATCAAATAAGACACAAACGTTCATAGACAGTATTCAGGAAAATATTAGCGACGGACTATTATATATACCAGCAATATATTCACTTTTAAAACTCACCGTTGCTGGACCTTCCTCCTCGCTGTCTGATAATGAATCACTACTGTCACTGGACTCCTTACTAGCTGGGGTCTTGCTTGGAGTGGCAGCAATCACTGGTTTAACCGGGGTAGCCGGAGGGGCTTTTGACTTGGCTGTTGATGTTGCTTTCTGTTGCTTCAATGGTGTAGCTTTCGGGGTTGCAGCTGTTGTCTGAATCAGTGTTAAGACAGATATTTATGATGAAATATCTGAAGAAAATATACAGATTATTCCATACTGCACAGGAATAGACTAATACCAACTCACCGTTACTGGACTCTCCTCTTCGCTGTCTGACGAGTCACTGCTGTCACTAGATGACTCTGCTGTTGTAGTCTTGGCTGTGACAGTGGCTGTTGCTTTGGCCTTGCTTGGAGGGGCAACAGTCGATGCTTTAGCTGGGTTAGCAGGAGGGGCTGCTGTCGCGGCTTTTTTCTGAATCAATGTAATATAAAGAAAATATTCAACCCAGTGTTTAATTTCAACCCAGAGTCCTCCTATTGCTGGACTCGCTGGAATCACTGGTATGGCTTTTGGTGTTGAGATTGTGGGCCACAACAGTGTGACGATGATGAAAATGAGACACAAACGTTCATAGATATTATTCATAGATATATAAAGGATAGATTATTATACAGCCAGGATCTGATTAACTCTTTAAAACTCACTGCTGCTGGACCCTCTTCTTCACTGTCTGATGACGCATCAATGCTATCACTGGACTTCTTACTAGCTGGGGTCTTGCTTGGAGTAGCAGCAACCACTGGTTTAACTGGGGTAGCCGGAGGGGCTTTCGTCCTGGCTGTTGATGTTGGTTTTGATTGCTTCACTGGTGTAGCTTTTGGTGTGGCAGCTGTTGTCTGAATCATTGTAAAGACAGATACAACAGTGAAGAAATGTGTAAAGAGAATTATGAAGATTATTTCACACTACACAGGGATATATGAACTCTTCAAAACGTACCACTGCTGGACTCTCCTCTTCGCTGTCTGACGAGTCACTGCTGTCACTAGATGACTCTGCTGTTGTAGTCTTGGCTGTGACAGTGGCTGTTGCCTTGGCCTTGCTTGGAGGGGCAACAGTCGCTGCTTTAGCTGGGGTAGCAGGTTTAGTGGGTTTCGCCTGTGTTGTGGTTGTTTTCTGAATCAGTTTGATATGAAGATAATATTCAAACCATTGTTTCATTTGAGAGGGTAAGAAAATATAAGATAATTCTACAGGACAAAAAAACATGTTTTGGTTTTAAAAAACTCACCGTTGCTGGACTTTCCTCTTCGCTGTCTGATAAATCACTGCTGTCACTGGACTCCTTACTAGCTGGGGTCTTGCTTGGAGTAGCAGCAACCACTGGTTTAACCGGGGTAGCCGGAGGGGCTTTCGTCTTGGCTGTTGATGTTGCTTTCTGTTGCGTCACTGATGTAGTTTTCAGAGTGGCAGCTGTTGTCTGAATCAGTGTTAAGACAGATATTAATGATGAAATATCTGAAGAAAACATACAGATTATTCCATACTGCACAGGAAGAGACTAATACCAACTCACCGTTGCGGGACTCTCCTCTTCGCTGTCTGATGATGAATCACTGCTGTCACTGGACTTCTTCCTAACTGGGGTCTTGTTTTGGGTAGCAGCAACCACTGGTTTAACTGGGGTGGCTTTCATCTTGGCTGTTGATGTTGCTGTCTGTTGCTTCACTGGCGCCGTCTGTGTTTTCTAAATTGTGTAATATGAAGAAAATGTTTACACCTATGTTTATCATGCGAGACTAAGAACACATACAGATAATTATACAGAAATGATTTTGGTTTTTTCAAGTCTTTTAAAAAAACTCACCACTGTTGGACCTTCCTCTTCATTGTCTGATGATGAATCACAGCTGTCACTGGAAGACTCTGGCGCTGTAGTCTTCGATTTGGTTGTTGGCTTGGCCGTTGATGTTGTTTTACTAATTGGTGTTACTGGTTTTGCAGGTGTTCCTTTTGGTGTTGTGGGTGTTTTCTAAATCAGTGAAAAAAAAAAGGCGAATTAAAACATTTCATTCAGGGTTTAATTAGTGAATGTAATATATCATTAAAATGCATCAACACTCCAGAGTGGTAAACTCACCGTTACTGGACTCTCCTCTTCGCTGTCTGACGAGTCACTGCTGTCACTAGATGACTCTGCTGTTGTAGTCTTGGCTGTGACAGTGGCTGTTGCCTTGGCCTTGCTTGGAGGGGCAACAGTCGCTGCTTTAGCTGGGGTAGCAGGTTTAGTGGGTTTCGCCTGTGTTGTGGTTGTTTTCTGAATCAGTTCGATATGAAGATAATATTCAAACCATTGTTTCATTTGAGAGGGTAAGAAAATATAAGATAATTCTACAGGACAAAAAAACATATTTTGGTTTTAAAAAACTCACCGTTGCTGGACTTTCCTCTTCGCTGTCTGATAAATCACTGCTGTCACTGGACTCCTTACTAGCTGGGGTCTTGCTTGGAGTGGCAGCAATCACTGGTTTAACCGGGGTAGCCGGAGGGGCTTTTGACTTGGCTGTTGATGTTGCTTTCTGTTGCGTCACTGATGTAGTTTTCAGAGTGGCAGCTGTTGTCTGAATCAGTGTTAAGACAGATATTAATGATGAAATATCTGAAGAAAACATACAGATTATTCCATACTGCACAGGAATAGACTAATACCAACTCACCGTTGCGGGACTCTCCTCTTCGCTGTCTGATGATGAATCACTGCTGTCACTGGACTTCTTCCTAACTGGGGTCTTGTTTTGGGTAGCAGCAACCACTGGTTTAACTGGGGTGGCTTTCATCTTGGCTGTTGATGTTGCTGTCTGTTGCTTCACTGGCGCCGTCTGTGTTTTCTAAATTGTGTAATATGAAGAAAATGTTTAAACCTATGTTTATCATGCGAGACTAAGAACACATACAGATAATTATACAGAAATGATTTTGGTTTTTTCAAGTCTTTTAAAAAAACTCACCACTGTTGGACCTTCCTCTTCATTGTCTGATGATGAATCACAGCTGTCACTGGAAGACTCTGGCGCTGTAGTCTTCGATTTGGTTGTTGGCTTGGCCGTTGATGTTGTTTTACTAATTGGTGTTACTGGTTTTGCAGGTGTTCCTTTTGGTGTTGTGGGTGTTTTCTAAATCAGTGTAAAAAAAAAGGCGAATTAAAACATTTCATTCAGGGTTTAATTAGTGAATGTAATATATCATTCAAATGTATCAACACTCCAGAGTGGTAAACTCACCACTGCTGGACTCTCCTCTTCGCTGTCTGACGAGTCACTGCTGTCACTAGATGACTCTGCTGTTGTAGTCTTGGCTGTGACAGTGGCTGTTGCCTTGGCCTTGCTTGGAGGGGCAACAGTCGCTGCTTTAGCTGGGGTAGCAGGTTTAGTGGGTTTCGCCTGTGTTGTGGTTGTTTTCTGAATCAGTTTGATATGAAGATAATATTCAAACCATTGTTTCATTTGAGAGGGTAAGAAAATATAAGATAATTCTACAGGACAAAAAAACATGTTTTGGTTTTAAAAAACTCACCGTTGCTGGACTTTCCTCCTCGCTGTCTGATAAATCACTGCTGTCACTGGACTCCTTACTAGCTGGGGTCTTGCTTGGAGTGGCAGCAATCACTGGTTTAACCGGGGTAGCCGGAGGGGCTTTTGACTTGGCTGTTGATGTTGGTTTCTGTTGCGTCACTGATGTAGTTTTCGGGGTTGCAGCTGTTGTCTGAATCAGTGTGAAGACAGATATTAATGATGAAATATCTGAAGAAAACATACAGATTATTCCATACTGCACAGGAATAGACTAATACCAACTCACCGTTGCTGGACTCTCCTCTTCGCTGTCTGATGATGAATCACTGCTGTCACTGGAAGACTCTGGCGCTGTAGTCTTCGATTTGGTTGTTGGCTTGGCCGTTGATGTTGTTTTACTAATTGGTGTTACTGGTTTTGCAGGTGTTGTTTTTGGTGTTGTGGGTGTTTTCTAAATCGGTGTAAAAAAAAGGCGAATTAAAACATTTCATTCAGGGTTTAATTAGTGAATGTAACATATCATTAAAATGTATCAACACTCCAGAGTGGTAAACTCACCACTGCTGGACTCTCCTCATCGCTGTCTGACGAGTCACTGCTGCAACTGGATGACTCGGGTGCTGTAGATTTAGGTGTGGCAGTAGTTGTTGCCTTGGCCTTGCTTGGAGTAGCAACAACCACTGCTTTAGCTGGAGTAGCTTTCGTCTTGGCTGTTGATGTTGGTTTACTGGTTGGTGTCACTGGTGTTGCCGTTGGCGTCAAGGGTGTTTTCTGAATCAATGTTGAGACAATTAGAGATGTGACACAATCTTTACACAAAGGGTTTTATTTGTGAATCTAAAGAAAGGTTTAGAATATGCTACAAAGGAATAGATGAACTCACCACTGTTGTTTCCTCTTCACTGTCTGAAGACGTATCAGTGGTATGGCTGGAGGCCCCAGACTTAGGCGTGGAAGTGGTTGTTAGCTTGGCCTTGGTTGGGGTCGATGGTGTGACCTCTGACCTGGCCTTGACCTTTGCAGCTGGAACATGATTGGCTTTGGGCGCAGCAGGGCTTTTCTGTAAACAGCAGAGGAGAGGAAGAGAGGACTCCATCAGTAACAACAGGGAGAAGAAGAGTTTATATTTGATTTGTCATCATGTCCCTCTATTGGTATTCACCTGTGTGCTTACCAGTGTGTTTACGTCTGTGCTTGCTTACCTGTGGCGGTGTCTCTTCACTCTCAGAGTCCTCTGAGCTGTCTGTCCCAGTGCTCTCCTCGACTACTATCCCCTTCCCTCCAAGAGTTCTCTGCACTGCAGTCTTGGCCTTAGCTGGGCTGGCCTTAGCTGGGCTCTGAGGCTTTGGGGTCTGGGAGGCTGGAAAGACAAAAGCAAGGAACAAGAAATACATACATGATCTTCAGACTTAAACCACATGAGAATGTTGAGGAGCAATCTACTAACTTCTTAGTTGTTGTTTACAATGGTCACCTACACGGCTACTGAAAAAAGCCTGTACCTTTAACAGGTGTTGTCTCTTCTGAACTCGAGATCTCTGTGCTGCTTTCAGGGTCTGCTTGACGGTCCTTTTTTAACTCAGAAGAATCTGGTTCTGTTCCCGTCTTTGTGCTCTTGGAAGCACTGAAGAACACAGTTGAATGTCAAAATCAACCCAATGCAATGAGGTCAGTTAATCAGACAAAAGAATGGCTTGTATTTTGAGAGAACCTATAGGCTAGCTACTCACTCTCCAAACCATTTATTGTAGATGTCCAGTAGTGAAGTTGACAAAGCTTCTGGTTCTCTGCCCTAGACAAAATATTAAGAGAAACAAAATCAGACACAGGGAAATCTAGCTAGCTGGCTACATAATAAACACAAGACAGCCAACACAGCAAAGTTAAATCTATTAGTGTAGTCTCCAAGTACAGTCTACAGTCTCTACCAAGAGGTCTGGGCCTTCATGGTACTGGCACAGTAGTGTAGAGCCCATAGGTAGACTCTTGTTCAAGCGCTGCTCCGGCTGTTCCTCACGCTAGCTAACTACACTGTTACAACTATGTTATTACATTGTAACAACGACACCGTTCTGGAAGTACAAATCTCACAATATGTTGCAAAGTTTCCCTTAATGGAGTGATACATGTTACAATGTATGAAGTATGAAACGGATAGATATAGCGACCTTCTTCACATGCTCTTTGAGTTCTTCTGCAGCTTTCTGGAAGCCGTTCTCCTTCAAATGCCGGTATATCAAATGGGTCAATTGATGATTTGATCCATGCTTCTTCTTTGAAGACATATTCCGACGTGAAGACTAACACAACAATTACATAACATTACGTTTTAACGAATTGAATAAACTTGGCCACATCGGTGTGCATGCTTTCGTTCTTCACATCGTGCATGGTAAGCGTTCAACTTTGACCCATGCCTGTCTTTCCGGTGAAGTCGGTGTGCATAACGGGAATTGTAGTGCGGCGGCAAATACTATACTCACGCTTTATTCCTAGACGAGTCCTCCTAGCGGCCTACATATGATAAGGCTTATCTTTTACAATAAAAAGCATCCCTCCGCTGTTAGTCACTGTGGTGCAATTTTCACAAGTATATGGTCCATTTTAAGCACCAAAATCTGAACAGATGATCAAAATGGCTTGTGTTTTAAAACTCTAAGCACATTTTTAATTGACTGAGTACAACAAACACATTCACAAAGTAACTTGTTCACTGCACCAAATCACTCTTTCAATTAGGAACAAGCATCTGCTTTTCAAAATGCAATATTCACTTGACTTTTGCTATGATTTTGTTGTCATTTCTTAACAATACAATTGACTATCACTTAATCAAACTGCTCAAAACTGATAACTACTGAACCAAAATGATATAGTGCCTAGTTAACATTTATAGTTTGATAACTGCTGAACACTGTATTTTAAAAAACATTTTTACCTCATAAATGTATCAATTTGACATCAATTTAGTTTAGAAGGTAAAACCAAATCATATATGGATGTGGCTGTAAATACTACATCATTTCCCATCAGCCTGTGTGCTGCAATAGGACAAAGTGGAAAAAGTCACTCTATATGCGACTATTTGGAATTATAGTGTAGTGTACAATACACTGCTGAAATACCTGGATTGTATATAACAATATATTCCACTCATTATCTGAATTACTGTACATTGATACACTGTAAGCTGATGAATTCCAAGCAGAGAGACAGGCGATGCTGTATCAGTTGACAAGTCATGTAGAAAAGGTGATCTACTATTCTTTCTATTCAGCACTACAAAAATAACAGTTTTGAAATGTGTATCTTGTATTTTTGCTATTGGATTAAATGGTAGTTAAAATGACTAAATGGTGAGCCTATAATTATCTGATGTATTGGTGGCTAAACAAAATGTGCTAATGGTATTTCACGTAAAATGAATGACTCAGGGGAAAAAGATGTGTGAACCCCCAATGAATCAAAGGAACAATCAAAGGTTCTGAACGTAAGAGAGGGGACATTACAAGTGCTATCAGTTTAGAGTTTTGTACTTAGAGTTTTGAAAATATACTACTTACATCTGAAACATTTGCCAAAGTGATTGAAAAAACCCGGTAATGTTGCACAATTAATGTATTTTAAACCTTGAGAGATTTCACATAACTTTGGCATACCAGTAGGCTCCTCTTGACTGTCAGAATTTAGAAATCTTAAGTTCAATATTTTATATTTTTTAGATGTAAAACTGTGATTTCCTTCAGCCACCTGTTATTACCTGATATTATGACCTGGGGCTGAGCACAGCCATCTGTCTTTGGCAGATTCTGTTGTTTAATAGCTGTGTTCTGTTCTCACATAATTGCCTGGTCATTATGATCCTGAATGAACTAGTGTGAGGGCCTCAAGTTTACCCAGGCACACCTGTACAAAGGCCCCTCTCTCTTTCCCTCTCTTCCTGTTTCTTCCTTTCCCGTCATCATTTTCCTATGATTTCAATTAATTTTTGCCCAATCAGACATCCTGTCTTGAAAATAAAAACAAACGTCTGAAGAATGGCTGACTTTAGAGCACTCCGTTCCCCTCAGAACCATGGGATTTGGACTGATCTCACCTGTGCAGTGTTTTAGTGGTAGGGGTTGAGAAGGACTCGATAATTATCTGATAGCTTGGAGACCTGCAATGGCAAGGTTGTAGTGGACTTGGTTGTCATGGGTTCTTTATATTATAAGAGTTAGAATATTAGTATTGTGGTTTCTCCTGGTTCTTCATGGTGGTCCAAGAGGACATGTAAGCTGTTTCACAACAGGAATAACATCCCTGGGCCAGCCAGGCCATTGGGCAGCGCCAGACCAGATGCTCCACAAACCATCCTGAGACAAATCAAATACACAAATTAAAACAACTTCTTCAAAATCTGCCAATGTGGTCAGATCTGATTGGAGCAGGTGTGTGTGGATAAGGTTTGGGCCATGGGTGGAGCGGTGTAGAGGGTGTGTTCCAACATACCACCTGGATGTGAGTCTGAAAGGCAGTGGTGGTGGTGGGGCATTTTGTTTGGGTCAATCTGGGGGAGAGCATTGCTTAAGCAGGGGGTCAGTGGGAGCAGGGAGCTGAAAGAAACCCATTCATGGAGGATGGAGGCGAAACCAGAAATGGAAAGCAGTGTGTATTCCAAACCTGACAGTAGGTCTCAACCAGCTTGATTCCACCACCTCTCCGTTCCAGCCCTCTCCTCCACACACACACACACACACACACACACACACACACACACACACACACACACACACACACACACACACACACACACACACACACACACACACACACACACACACACACACACACACACACACACACACACACACACACACGCACGTACGTACGTACGTACGTACGTACGTTATGGAGAGATGAAATGGTTGGTTATGGAGAACTACAATGCGAACTCAGCTTCCATTTTCGCAGTGTTGATTGGTTAGGCCACCAAAGTTTTATGGAAGAATAAATTGTGTTAAAACTAGAAATTGAACATTTCCTTTGCTCATTCCCCCCATTCCACCTCCTATACATAGGTGTGTATGCATATGGTGTGTGATATAGAGTGCCTTATGCTGTTTATACACTCCTACACATAGTTCCTGAGTGGTAGACACAGAATGAGACTGGAGACCTGGGGGAGCGTTCCCACTTGCTGTGATTGTATGAAACACACTGAGGGACTGAGCTTGTTCATTCAGGTTACCCTTCTAAATGGACGTCTGTTTGACAGAAGTAAATACATTCCTAGATTTCAGCCACTCAAGTCCCGGCTACCGCTCTTGCTTTCTACAGGTAATTAACCGCAGTCAGTCCCAGGGTTTATTTTTGCTATAGTGAGTTCTCATGGTCACAGCCACAGGCTGTCTTTACTATACAGTCTTACTGTAAAACAGAAACTGTACTTAGAATACTGAATGTTGTGTTTATTTGATCTTTTTGATAAATCAGATAGATTATTCATAGATTATTTATCAATAGATTGTTCATAGTCCCTCATGTTCAGCAGCCATGGCCTCTGTAGATGTCCATCCAGATGCCTGCTCACTGTTCAGGGGTCCTAATGAGCTGTTGTGTCTGTCCCAGGTGGCCAGGTGCTGTGTAGAGAGAGAACCGCTGCTTTGTGCTGCCAATTTAAACAGGCAGTGGGTCTGGGACCAGCCCCGGATCACCTGGGAGGTCCCTTCTGGAGACCATGGTGTAAATAATGAACACTAAACAGGCTGGGGGAGGATTGTATCAAGAAGTGTTGGATTATGAATCAACGGGGAAAGACAATAGCAATTGGTGGGGAGTTAGCATTAGATAGTAAATTGCCCCCAGGCCAGCATTAGATACACTACATGACCAGAAGTATGTGGACAGCTGCTCATCGAACATCTCATTCCATTATCATGGGCGTTAATATGGAGTTGGTCCCCCCTTTGCTGCTATAACCGCCTCCACTCTTCTAGGAAGGCTTTCGACTAGATGTTGGAACATTGCTGCAGGGACTTGCTTCCTTTCAGCCATGAGCATTAGTGAGGTTGGGCACTGATGTTGGGAAATTAGGCCTGGCTCGCAGTCGGCATTCCAATTCATCCCAAAGGTGTTCGATGGGGTTGAGGTCAGGGCTCTGTGCAGGCCAGTTAAGTTCTTCCACACCGATCTCGACAAACCATTTCTGTATGGACCTTGCTTTGTGCACGGGGGCATTGTCATGCTGAAACAGGATAGGGCCTTCCCCAAACTGTTGCCACAAAGTTGGAAGGACAGAATTGTCTAGAATGTCATTGTATGCTGCAGCGTTAAGATTTTCCTTCACTGGAACTAAGGAGTCTAGCCCAAACCATGAAAAACAGCCCCAGACCATTATTCCTCCTCCACCAAACTTTACATTTGGCACCATGCATTCGGGCAGGTAGTGTTCTCCTGGCATCCGCCAAACCCAGATTAGTCCGTCGGACTGCCAGATGGTGAAGCGTGAATCATCACTCCAGAGAACGCGTTTCCACTGCTCCAGAGTCCAATGGCGGCAAGCTTTACACCACTCCAGCCGACGCTTAGCATTGCGCATGGTGATCTTAGACTTGTGTGCGGCTGCTTGGCCATGGAAACCCATTTCATGAAGCTCCCGACGAACAGTTCTTGTGCTGACGTTGCTTCCAGAGGCAGTTTGGAACTCGGTAGTGAGTGTTGCAACCGAGGACAGACAATTGTTATGCGCTATGTGCTTCAGTACTCGCCGGTCCCGTTGTTGCTCCTAGACGTTTCCACTTCACAATAACAGCACTTACAGTTGACCGGGGCAGCTCTAGCAGGGCAGAAATTTTATGAACTGACTTGTTGGAAAGGTGGCATCCTATGACGGTGCCACATTGAAAGTCACTGAGCTCTTCAGTGAGGCCATTCTACTGCCAATGTTTGTCTATGGAGATTACATGGCTGTGTGCTCGATGTTATACACCTGTCAGCAATGGGTGTGGCTGAAATAGCCGAATCCGCTAATTTGAAGGGGTGTCCACATACTTTTTTATATATAGCACTAGAAAGACACGAGAGAGAGAGAGAGATTAACATTCCCTTCTTTGAACGTCATGTCCAAACAGCCCTAAATCCTTAATCCTGATCCATTCCCTCCTCACATTTGATAAAGTAATGTTGACAACCAGATATCTCTCCTTGCTTAACACCATTCCATAGTAGGTATCAGCCAGGATCCATGGTTACCTGACTGACAAAGTGACTGTCGTTAGATGCATATAACAATGGAGGAAAACAACATCCAAGAAAAACGCTTGGCTGGAGGTAGGTGTGAAGAAAGGCCGAGAACAAATTTCATTTCAGAACCTTCCCAAAAAAATGAGGAAAGAAAAAAGGTTGAAAGGGGGAAAGA